CCCCAAAACCCCAAAACCCCAAAACCCCATGAGATAGAATTGGATTTGAATTAATCAGAATATATTGTTAATAATTTCATCAATTTTGCTTGACTTATAGTCAGTTCTTTTGCTTAAATAGCCAACTATTGTTTCTCTGTCAGTAATCTGCATCAAATGCTCTTTTATATATTATTCCAAAGACTCTGGATTAAGTAAATATAGGTTTATCAAAAGCTTAAAACTTTCATATTTCTTGATAATTTCATCAGCCTCAACTTGCAAGAAAAGCTCATTATATCTAAATATTATTAACAAATATTATCTTACCTGTTTATATCTCCAGACAGTAATATAGCTCCTTCTTATGAAATAACAAACTTTTGGTAATGAGCAGTAAATATCTAGACAATCCTGTCAATCATGTTATATAGCAATCTCATTCTATTTTTCTCATGATACTTTTGATTAAATAACACCTAGAAAAATGGTTTAATGTAGCTTATAACATCAGTGCTAGTTTATGTGGTTTTAATCTCATCATTTAACTTCTTCTTAATGTTATAATCATTTTTCTTCTAACTCTTATTCAAAATATCAGATAGTTGCTTAATGATGTTATTCACTATCTTCTCATTGTATAGCTAAATGCTACTCGACATTTCATTTATCATTTCACCCTTCATCGATTCCAGAGCATGCAAGTACGATTTATCTGCCTGTAAAAAAGGGAGGACTCTTTCAAAATAACTTTGAAATGATTGATAAACAAGCTAAAGCTTGAAGATAATCTCAAGATAAAGAGGTTCAACTCGATTATCACTGTTAGGAAGTTCCTGCTCTAAATATTCTATTATTCTATCCATATATCTCTCTTTAAAGCCTTTCAAATAATTAACTGCTAAGTCATAAAGGTTAAGGATCAATTACTAAGGAAGTGAAATCTTTATACTTCTATCAATAGCCTTGCTAAAAAATATAAATTAGTCCTCTATCTTTGACAGATCAAGTTCTTTATAGATCGCTATCAACTTTGGCTTGTTCATAAACCATTGTATGAGTTAGCCTCCCTGTTTTTAATGCTCATCTACAGTATTTGCAGCTGATATAATTTTTTCAATAGCTTTTTGATAAAAGTTTGTTGATGCCTTATCAACTAAAGCCATTTCTTTTTTGTGATAGAGTCTTTGATAATCTATGAATAAATTTGTAGAAATCTATTCTAGCTCCGAATGGAAGTCTAAGTGAAATTCATCAAATATTTTAACTTTTAAGTTTTAAAGCAGTGATCTAGTATCTTCAATGACTTATTCTAGCATCTCCAAAAAGTATTACTTGCTCTTCCCCTCTGTATCTAATGACTCTTGAATAAACTTCTTGTAATTATTTTTGAAGAACTTATTCAGTAGGTCCTGACAGATTCTGAACCATAGCTCTCCTCCAAATACTTCTATAATTCTTCCATTGGATGAATTCATTTCATCCAAAAATACCTGTGTTATATCTTCATTTAAAGCCTAGTGATACTACTTAAAGGACTCCTTATCTTTAGTTGAACTGACACTTTTGATTTATATAGCCTATGAGCACATGAAATCTAGATAAGTGCTTAATGATTACTCCTTTTGATCTAGTTCCTCGAATACTTTGAAAATCATTTAAAGTTTTGCTCTGTCATTAGACTGCAAATTTTGATAGAACTCCTAGTTGGTTTTCTCTAAATACTATTAGTATAAATGAGTGATGGCCTCTGAATTTTGAGGAGTTTTTGTATTTCCTTCCAAAGCAATCTAACTCATGACCTGATTTAGAACAGTTAGAGTGTTAGCATTTTGAAGATTATATATATCTTTTAGAAAATCTTATTCAATGAAGGAAAGCAATTTCTCACTATAAAATAGTCAAGAGATCATTATTTAATACTTACTCACTGAATCTTAGATAGTTCTAAGAATATCTGATACCATCTTGCCAGGATTTCTTTTGCTATTCAAGTTGCTTCAATTTATCCGATATTGCTATTGTTTTCTGAGATTAAAACATAAGTCCTTCAAGTTATGTTAATTAATCAAAAGCTACTTCATGTCTCTAATTAGCCTTTTAGATTAGACTCCCAGATTCCTGCTTTGTCTTGATTAATATTTTATCCTCTCTCTCAATCTATGATTCAAGCTTATTAGCGCATTCTTAAATGAAGTCCACCTCATTGTTAATAATCCCAAGTATTTCATCATAATCATCTAATCCTTTCGGATCCTTTGATGAAATTAGATCGATAGCATCTTGAATTAACTTATCAAAATTCATTTGGGGTTGGTTAGACTTCTGTTTTTAATCACTATTCGACAAAATCTTTTAAGACATTTTGAATTATCTAATAATTTTTAATTAAATTAATTATGACTTATTCCGATTTCTATTAATTGCATTCTAAATTGGATTTCATTACTTATGCCTCGGTCTTTTCTATTTATATTCTTCCTCTGCAACCCATTTCCTTGCCCCACCAAGTATATAGCTAGAATGTCTCATTGGAAAACCGAATCCAAGTAATTGAGAATCAAATGTTTCCTAATCTTTTCCCATAGATGATAATAACTGGCAAACAACAGATGCTAATTCATTTTTATTTTTTAACCAATTGTCATATTGACTAAATAAAATAAATTAGATTATTTGCTTACTTATGCATAGTTAGATCTTCATCATCAGAATCAAGCATTCTTTGTCTTTTATTTGAGTACTTACCATCCTTGTGCAGCCTCTCCTTCAATTCTTGTCGCTTACTCTTTCTAATATCTATAGGATTACATCCTTGGCAGCCACAGTATTTGCAGCCTTGCTAAGGAAGAGTAGATCTTCTTTCTGATTTCGGAACTTGACACAAGCAACTCTAATTTATATAAAATGATTGATAATTTACCTTCCCATTTTTTGAAAATGCTTTCATACAGTCTCAACAGCAGCCGTTTTTCATTACAAATCCATCATCTGCCCGGCTATTATCTCCTCCATTTCTGTGATTGCTGTTGCGATCATCTGCAGAATGCTAGGAAGAGGAATCAAAAGCTGAATCTGATGAAGAAGGGAAATTCTGATCGAGATCTCTGTGATTTTAACTTCGATGGCTTTTATCTAATAAGGATTGCTTTTCATTCTTATCTATATTTCTTAAGTCTTTAAAAGAGTCATCATTTGAAGCTGAATCAATAATATGCTATTCTTAAGTGATCCAACTTTAATTATTATTATTTTGAATGGTATTGATAGAACTCGATAATGGTTTGTCAGGTAGATTAGCGTTATTTTGTTGAACTTGCTAGTCATGCCAATCATCGTTACTATTAGAAGGTGATTTTGAAGATGATGATTCTTGGTCTTAATCTTTCTGATTCTATTTTTTGACTTAATATTCTAATAATTGAGCATCTTAATCCATTTCTAGTAGGAATAATTAAATATATATACTAGCTTTGGTTTTAATTATCTTTTAAAAATCTATGAAATAAATATTAAGAATAGCGGGGTTTTGGGGTTTTGGGG